GACCCATTTCCATCAAATGCTGGATGCCTGGGCCAGGGAGCTGTGGGCCTGAGAAGGGCTCTCCATTTCTCCAAGATTCAAAACTGTGAGCAAAGAGAGGAAGAAAAGGCCATCTGGGACTGAGGTGCAATGTAATTGGCCAGCAACTTCTTGGCTTTTCCAAGGAGTTTGTAATTTCTTTAAGGTGAGCCTGATACAGACCTTGTCTTTGCAATCACTTATTATGCATCAAAGAGTTGGACAGTGATTCAGGAGGCCAAGAGAATTGATGCCTTTGAGCTGTGGTGTTGGAGTATTGAATATACCATGGACTGCTAAGAAAATGAACAAGTTCATCCTTGAGAGGGTGAAACCAGGCTGCTCCTTGAAGGCAAGGATTCTGAAGCTTCGTCTGACATACTTTGGACATGTTGCAAGGAGGTACCAATTCTTGGAGAAGGAGCCATGCTTGAGAGGGTGGAGGGACAGCACAGAAGAGGAAGACCCTCTATGAGGTGGATTGATTGAGTGACTGGGGTAATGGGGGTAGGTGTGTCAGAGATAGTGAGATTGACACAGGATAGAGGATTTAGGGCTGTTGTACATAGGGTCGCTATGAGTTGCAAGTGACTCAATGGCACATAGCAAGTATTGTTCCAGCCTTGCATTTGTAAGAGAAACCCAATTTGGGCTTTGAGTCGTTAACATTATTTGTGAAGATATGCATAGGTACCATAAAAAATTCTGCCCTCGGGATTTTCCTGTACTGTCCTTGTCTGGTTTTGATGTCAAATTTAGCCTCATAAAAATGTTTTGCTTTTATTTTTAGGGGCAGTCTAGGTGGCATTGAAACAATCTGTTCCTTGAGTGTTTAGCATAACTACCTGCTAAGCCTGTCTGAGCATGGCATTGGAGTGAACTTCAAACTCATATTTAGTTTCTTTAGCATTAAGTACCTCTTCTTTGTGGCACTTGTCATGGCTGAAATACTTTGTTCATTAATATCTTATTAAGAGAATGAATGAGGTGCAGCTGCTGGCAAAAATGTTCATTGAACAATCTAGTAGCTGACAGTTCACTAGCTATTACCTGGGGAGTCACTAGTGAACTTCCACAAGAGCCTATGTGGTGGAAGCTGTTGTCAGTCCCACCTGCAGCTGGGAAGCACTTGTAGGCCCACTGACTGTCCCTTTGTGTGGTATGCTCTCAGGTTCTCCTCATAGTGGGGCTGCACTGCGGTGGTCCAGGGTGAGGGCACATGCCACCCCTGCCTCCTGGATGGCTGGGAAATCTGCACATTCTCAGTGTGGAGGGAATCAGGCCTTGCTCTGCCCTCACCTCTGAGCAGCTCCTCAGTCACCAAACGCACGCGCGCGTGTGTATGTGTGTGTGTGTGTGAGCCGCTCTGTCCTACAGCCCTGGCCAGAGCAGAGGCCCCTGGCTGGTGGTGATGCTCCATCAGCCTCTTGTTTTCTCTCCATAAGTCTAGTTCTTGATGTTGGCATGAGTGGAGGACACAGGAAATCATTTGGTCTATCTCTGCATCTCATGGTGCAGAGACAATAGTTAGGGTATGGGGAAGCTGAGGCGTAAGTGATTGGTTTGCCCAAGGACACAGCAAGTGAGGTATCAGGAAGGTTTTCAGTGTACGATGCAGGTGACCATGGGGCTGAATGTAGAACAGTGTGTCCAGCCCAGGAATACTCACCACTCCTCTCCCTTTTGGTGTAGTTGACAGGAGGCTACCGACAGCAGCCAGCCACTAGGCCCAGAGAGGGATCTGAACAGAGACATCACTCCCCTGGTCTCATCCTTCCTTTCCCAGTCCCATGCCCTCAGTCTCACACAGTGCAGAGGAACAGAGGTTGAGCAATCTGACTCTGGGGCTACCTTGCTGGTACCTCTGTCCAGGCTTGTGGGGGTGAGGGAAATATCGGTGCTGTGCCCAGACCCTCTGCCACACATAGGCGGTGGGATTTCCTGCCACTCCTGCTCCAGAGCTGGACCAGTGCTCATCTCTGGTCACCAGAACCTCTGCCCCAGATGGCGCAAGAAAGCCACGGGAGAAGACATGGGGATAGCGTGCAGCACCTTTCTTGGCACTCGTGCTACTAACAGGGCAGGTACACAGTCACCAGGCAGTGGGGGCTTTCATTTGTGTTTATTTTCTCTCATATAAAAGTTACACATTTGAAATGTCTGCGGGAAGATGCCACTGTTGGGTGGGTTAGTTGGGGATCTATATTACAATGGAACGCTTGGGGAGAGTGGGGACAGGTGGAAAGGGAGGTGCTTCTCAGAGTTAGGGTTCAGCTCAGACATGGATCTGCCTGCCCTTCCCAGCTTCCCTCACACCTGCCAGGGGAGAAGAGATTTTTTCTACAGGAACCGAATGATCTCTATCAGGCTTGTCTATACTGGTGGCTCCCACCCTGCCCACTTCACATTATGGCTGAGGGCGCAGCACTGGGATGTGGCACCAGCAGAGTTAGGAGGGTGTCATCTCATACGGAGCAGGGGACACTCATCACCCAGCAGGTTAACACCCACGCTGCACCCCCCCAGCTTCACGCAGCTGGTCATTCCCTCCTTACCCTACCTGAGACCCCGCCTCAGACCACGGCAGCCCAGGCCTGCCTCTGAGGATGGAACCAGGGCTGTTCTGAATGAAATAAAGGTGAAGTGATCCCCTCCCCACGCCAGCCCAGGACGGAAAATGAGATGGCCTGCTGCCGCTGAATGTGCCAGGTTTCTGAGACTGAAACACAGCATTCCAATCAGCTGTGCTACAGAGGCAGACTCCTAGAGGTTCTCAAAAAATGCAGGGAGACCGTGACTTCGTATAACCCAAGGACTGCACAGCGGCCCTTCACAGGCATGCGCACACAAGCAAATGCACACACAGCAGCAGCGGGCAGAGCTGGGCGCAGGGTGGGAGGCATGATGCGGAGGGAGGGAAAGACTGAAATGAAAGGACTTTCAAAAAGAGGAAACAAAAAACCCAACTCCACACACAATACTGTTAATAAACCAGCAACTCTACACACACACATACACACATACGCACATACACACACGCACACTTTAAATAATAAAGTGACATGTCTGGCCCGCCAAGGCAGCATTGCTGCCAGAGGTGGATTTTCATGGCCACTTCACAGGCGTCCTCCTCTCTATATACAACACCTGGATGATGCAGTGGTGAGGTGCGAGGCTGCCAACCGAGAGCCAGCAGTTTGAACCTCCCAGCTGCCCCACAGGAGAAGGACGTGGCCGACTTCTGTGAAGACTCAGAGCCTTGGAAACCCTATGGGGCAGTTCATGCCGCCCTCTAGGGTTGCTATGTGCCGGAATCAACTCCATGGCAACAGGTATATACAGGAAAAACACAAAATAAAAGAGGAAAAAACCCCAAAACAGCCCAAATTTTCTCCTGGATGAACAGAAAACTCAAGGTGATGTGGTTTTTTCCCTTTTTTTTATAAAAAAAAAAGAAACCAAAACCAAACTAAAGAATCAACAGATGCTGCCTTGTGTGCCCTTTGTTCAGTTTAAATCGGGCAGGCCAAGCAGGCAAAGCAGGGTCATCACGTGACCCACCCCAAACACAGAGGGAGAAGTGAGCACTCAGTCCATGCAGAAAAGGAGAGGAGGCATGATGGAGGGATGGGGAGGCAGAAAGCCCTGACGTGAGATGCAGCACGTCTGAAGTCTGGCCAGCGCTCTGGTGGGGCCCACCTGTGGTGGGCACAGAGAGCCAGGGGTACACGGAAGGCGTGCTGCTGGCCCAGGTCCCCCTGCAAACCTTGCCTCGGATTGTCAATCTCAGCAGTAAAGAGGTTTGTAATAAGGAAGATGGAGAGCCCCTGCTCTGGGAAATGCTTCTGCCAGAGGAGAAAGAAACTCTGCAAACTGGGTGGAGGGCCCTGGCTGGTCAGCCTCTGCGGGCAGCCTGTCCTTCCTGAAGGAGCTAACCGGCTGGCAGAGGCTGCCGAGTGAGGAGGAGCCTTCCCAAGGGGCGGGTGGCGAGGTCAGAGGGAAGCCTTGGGGACCGGGGCTGGGGCACAGGTGGAGTTTAAGGCACACAACAAGCAACAGACAGACAGAAGAGGGAGTCTGTGGACTTCCCCGCACAGAAACGCTCCTCCCCGCTCTGGACTAAGCCACCCAAGAGTATAGCCCAGTTCATAAAAATCAAAGTCACCCAGGAAAAGTAATAATAAAAAAAAGGGGGTGTTCTTTGATGATCAAGTCCTCCCTTACTCGATCCTCTTCTTCCCAGGTCCCTATAGCACTTTGGAAAGTGCCTAAAGGAAAACTGTCAGATGATGGGGAGAGGGGCCAGCGAGGAAGGTGAGGGAAGGCTAAGGTGCAAGAAGCCCAAAGGCGCTCACTGTATTACTGCCCAGCAGAGACCACCCCAGCAGGAGGACGTTCTGCGAAACAGTACCGTGACCAAAGGCTGCTGAAATGCAACCTGCCACTGCTCTGTGCCAGTGATGCTCATACCACCCTGCACGCTAGAAAGGAGGGAATGAGGAGTCCAGGAGGCAGCCGCCCCAATTCTTCTCCATCCCAGCCCATCCTGCGCTCACATGCCCCTCAGAACACTGTTCCATGGCCCCTCTGCTCTTGTCCTGGCGATGCCACCTCTGTGCTACTCCCAGGCTGGCAAGGGTGTTCGTGGGACAGGAGGGGGAAAGAGAATTGAAAGCAGAAAACATTTTAAAATAAAATAAAACCAGCAGTTCACAATTCAGTCCTGACACCTGCCCAGTGGGCTCCTCTCTGGGCCCCAGGGCCTGTCCTGCGGAGAAGGGAGGGTGGGAAGCTGCCAGCAGGCTTGACTCCAGCCCCACCGTCACACCAGGGGCCTGGCCAGACCTGGGCTCCAAGGCCTGGACGCCACGGCCTGCTCAGGTGGGGAAGCTGCCGCTGCACCACCAGGTCCAAATTCTCGTCCGGTTCGGAGCTGCCCGCTGTGCCTCTTTTGAGTGTTCTCCTTGCTCGCGTACCTGCTCCTAGGTTTTTTCTTCTCGATCCGTTTTTCTCCTCGTTATGTTCCTGGGTTTGATTTTCAGAGACAGTTCCCATAGGGCCTCTTCGGCCAGGTGGTCACTGAAGTCATTGAAGAAGTTTACAATGTCATCATTTCTCCTGATGTCATAATGCCTGGGGAGGGAGGCAGGTCAGTGAGAGCCAGAGTTGGGTGGGGCCCTGCTCTGCCACACCCTAGCCTTAGGGACTGTCTGTCTACTTGTGTGAGACTGCTGCACTGCTATTCACAACTGGAGCAGCACCTGGCAGAGAAGGCAGCTCTCAGACAGGGCCGGGCACTGCTATGACAACAGGACCCACGTCAAGGGCTGCCAAGGGTCTCCTGTGGAGGGCTTGTGCTGACTCAGGGGAGGCTCCACCGCCTGCACTGGGGTGTCCTGTGCCTCCCAGGATCTGACTTGGTGTGGAACAGTCTTGGGACTTTCTCTTGGAGCACAGCCTTTGAGCCAGGCCAGTACTAAGCACCAAAGAAGCCTTGCAACAAGCCCATGAGGCCGAGGCCACCACGGTCCACATCTTAAGAAACCAGTGCTCAGAGGTAAACCCACTAGTATAGCAGCCAGAGCCAGGGCCAGACTCGAAAGCCAGTGCTCTTGAGTGCCCCCTATGCCCGGAGTCCCCCCTGAGCAGTACCCCTGCACCTGGATTGAATAGGGATGGCCACCATCTGTGGGCACTCCTTCCGCCTGGAGGAGCCTGGCTCCCCTGTGATGTGACCTGCACCCCGAGAGACCAGGCTTCCTAGGCCCATTTTGTGCATGACAGCCTGATGCTGGGGAGGCTCAGGGCACAGATGAGAGCATAAGCCTGTGTCAGCTTTCCCTTGTGTGTGAAGAGATGGACATTGGCTTCCTGGTCTGTGAAATGGGGATGACAGAAGTGCTGCCACCACTGGACACAGAGCCCTCGTATAACCCTGCAAAGAGCTCCAGGACACAGGCATCACGAGCCTACTGAACAGAACCAGAGTCCCTTTGGTTCTCGTCAATTTTCTGTCTCCGTTCAGTGGCCTGGGAGCTGCTTCTCTGCACTGAGGGTTTAGATGGGGTCCCTGCCTAACCCTTCGAGGATAGTACTCACGCCTGCTGGAAGCACCGCATGCTGTCGAGGATGTTGAACTGCTGCCATCGTTTGGAGAAATTCACTTTCCCATCAATATAGTCTGGGTTTCCCAGGTGCACAAAGGTGAGATCCTGAAGGATCAGCCCCCTGGAAGGACAGAAAAACCAGTCACTGCTCTGCAGTGGGCTGAGCCTCCAGGAAAACTGAGCAACTAATGAATCACTTCAGGGCTGAGCCCTCTGGGCTGGGACTGAGCGGCTGCAAAACCAAACAGCAAGTCCGGATGAGGTTGCACATTTCCCCTAGCATGCACCACCAACATGGGCCCTCTGAACTCATGCCTGCCTTCTGCTCCCAGAAGGTTAGGCTGGGGCCTCAGAGCATCTGCCTAGACCCACTGGCTGCAGGAGAGGCCTCCTTGCCTCTGCCTGAGTCTGTCAGCCAACAGAACCTGGCTACACAATGTGTGCACATTTGTGGGCTGCTGATGTAAAATCAGTTACAAATAGAAAAGTTCACAAAATCTCACACTGTGTGGGGTGCTCTGCATTCACAGGCGGGGCAAGTCAGTATAACATACAAATGAGTTAGGAGGCCAAATGAGCAAAGATGGGGAGCAACTCTTCTACAAAGAGAGCTTAGCTTGAATGGCATGGGTGACACCCTGTCAGAGCTCCAGATGTGGGTTCTCTGATGGGAAAGGCTCTGATAAATCCTGCAAGGGGAAAAAGAAAATCTATTTATGATTATTTCACTGTTTCTCAAATTTACGTGATCAAGGGAGCCTTTCCCAGTAAACATGTATGTACAGGATTCCATGGCCTACCCTTTGGGAAATGCTCTCTGAACTTCTTTACATCAAGTGGTCTTGGGGTTCCTGTGTGGGAGGACTGACAAAGTTTGAGGAGCACTGGAACGATGCCATTTATGGGGAAGAAAAGGGAATCTAGACTTGTGTATACACATTGCCTGAACATGCTGATTGGTAGGTTCCAGAAGGAAATGGCAAGAGAACTGGAAAGAGAAGAGAGAAAGACAGGAAATCTCCCACTTGACCCTTTTCTGTTTAAATGATACGAGGAATATGTTTTAGTTTTAGAGTTTAAAATAAAATATAATATAAACAGCTGGAAATCCTTAAGTAAGGGTTTCTCTGAGGGAGTCCAATATAGATTTCCTCTAGCAGCTGAAAGACAAACCCAGGCTGAGGGGTCGGTAGGGGCAAGGAGGGGCTACTCACAGGTATGGGATGCAGGGAGGCTCCACCTCTGAGAGGGCGGCTCGGTATGCACGGAAGGAAGACGAGCTGTCAATCAAAGTACAGTACTCCGCCAGGCCCTGGGGAGGAGAGCAGACAGTTTGGCAGTGATGGGATGGGGTTCCTGGGGACAGGGAGGGCCTTGCTCTTCCTTCCTGCTTGACCAACCACCCTTCCAGCCTCTGAATGTCCCCATACACAAACATCATGACCACTGTGGCCCTGGGGCCAGCAGGGATTTGGTGTCTTTCCACACTCATGGCTGCAGGGGACTTAAGGATCCTTTGAGGAGAAACACCCCAAGGATTCCTTGTTCTGGACAGAATCATCTGAGTCCCCATGTATACAGAGACTGGAAGCAGGGCTAGGAAGTTATGAGGAAGTTACATCTCATGATGCAATTGCTGAACTGCTTCAGTTCAAACAAACTGGTCACTCCAGGCCCAAAGCCTTTCCTTGACTCCTCACTGCACTCAAAGCACAGACACCCCCACATCCGGGGCCCTGCGGCCTCGCCCTCCAGCAGTGCTGAAATGCTCTTTGTCGCCAGCGTATAGTGCAGTGTTTGTCTAGTAGAGAAAGGGAGCTGATCCTGCCCCCTGTTAGAATACCATTCTCCTGCCTCTGGACCTTTTAAGTCCCTTTTACAACATTCCACTGCCTCCTCTAGAAAACCTTCCTGTGTTCCTAGTGCCTCTTTTCTGCAGGACCCTGGTTTATACTGTCCCTTTATATACGCAGAGTGATCTGATCTGAGTGGCCCAGAGGACACTCAGGCCAGTGGGCGTAGCCTCCCTTCTCAAGGTTCATCGTCCTTCCTAAGGAGGAAGGTCCCTCTTCTTCACCAGGCTCCCTGAGACCCTGGCAATTGCGAACTGGCCTTTCCACATAGAGATGCAGCCAGGTCGGCCTCCTTCCTGCACCAAGCTCCCATCTGTTGCAGATATGTGCATTCCTCTTCTTCCCTTCCCAGGAAACCCCTCGTCTTTCAGGTCTTGGTATCAAAGGCATTTCTCTAGGTAAGTTGTCCTGGGTCCAGGTTCGGGTCAGATCATGTCACATACTCTGAGCATCTCATCCTTTCCTGATGTACTTACTGCACAGATTCACCACAGGATGCCTGGCCTGTTCACTATGTTATCCCCGGGCACTAATGTAGTCCAGTCTAAAGCCGTCCATTGAGAAGCCAGGGCTGAAAAAATGAGTAACACTGGGGCCCAGGTCTGGTTGGGAGGCAAAGGACGGCATTGACATTATAACCCCAGAGTTAATCCCAGGCCCTCTAGACCTGCTAGTTAGGAGCAGGAGACTATGGTTAGAACCACATAGCAGACTAGTGACAGCAGGGATCCCTCTGATCAAGGTCTACCACCTGTGCCGCAGCAGCTCACCCGAATGCTGGAAGGGCCTGCCCCAGCTCACCTCTGAAGTCTGCTTCTGCCACTCCAGCCTGCGGATGGGTGCGGAGTCCAGTGCAGAGAGGATGGCCAGGTAGGAGTTGAAGTTATTTAGCTTCCGTAAGTGCTGCAGAGAGAGGCAAGGCCTCATGAGAGAAGTGGGAGAGGGGCCACAGAGGTGGCAAGGACATGCAGACCCTGGGCATCCCGCGGGAAGGGTGTGGCCACAGCTACCTTCATGATCTTGATGAACTTCAAGAGCAGCCGTTCCCTGTCCTGGGCCTTTTCCTGTAACATGATTATTGACCGGACCCTGCACAGATCAAGGGGACAAAAATGAGACAGCCATGCAGCCTGGCAGTGCTGAAGAGAGTGGGACAGGATAGAGGCCTGCGCCATCTGACCTCTGCCTGCACTCGTTCCCAGGGCCATGTGGGGCTCCAGACACAGACACAGACACAGACCTTCCTCCCAAGAAGCCCAAGGGGATCTAGGGACCAATGTCACAGAACATGAATGCTTATATACCCCAATTCTGCAGTCAGTGGGAGGCTGTGGGGGACCAAAGGAGAGCCTTCCTGACAAATGGGGACCCCAAGGATCTCTGGGGTTAGAAAGTCACTAACAAGGCCTCAGGTTGGCTTGAAAGGGGGGGGAAAAAGCTGGCATAAGGGGGCATCTTTGTCCTCTAGGAGGGAGAAAATGGCTGCCGGGAGCCTCTCGGACCAGGAATAGCAATATCAAAACCAAAACCAATACCAAAGGCCAGTCAGGCTTGTTGCTAAAGTGCAGTGAAGATTTTGCAGTGCCCTCAACTTCCTGTTTACATCAAGTCTATTACCAGATTCACTGAGGTGAAAGGCTGTCCTCCACTTGTGCTATAAAGGCAGCGGCTTCAAAGACACTTTGAAGACCACGATTCTTACAAAATCACATCTGTTTCTCCTAAGGATCTTGTGGGATATAGTGTGTAATGCGCCGGACTGCTAACAGGACTCGCTATATGAATCCATGGGAGAAAGGCAAACGTCTCCTATGATTTAGAGCCTTGGAAACAGGAAGGAGGGTCCAAATTATTTTAAGGAGTGAGGACCTTCTTGGCCTTATTGTTCACCTTCTAAAACGGTCTTTTGATTGGCTCAAAGTTGAGTCACAAGGATACATTTTGTTCCAGGCTCAAAGGTTCCACCAGTCCCTATCAGACAAGCAAGCTTGGTCATGTTTATGGTTTTGAGCTTTGTTCCATATTTTATCCTGCTCTATCCAGGCACTTCTTCTGGGATCCCTTTTAAAGTGGCTGGCAGCAGTAGCTGGGCACCTTCCTAGTTCTTCTAGTCTCAGGGCTGTGGGGTTGACATTCGTGTAGCTCATTAGTCTTTTGGACTCATCAAGGCTGTAATCTGTAAGGGACTGGCCTGTGACATCTTCCCCTGCAGAACAATGACTTGATTTGAACTGCTGACTTCTCCTGGGGCCCCTAACGTGCTTTCCTTATCCACCTCCACAACTACTTCTGTGTTTGAGATCCCTCAGAGTATCCTAAAGAAATTAGACTTGCCCCTGGTGGCAGCAGTGGGTCATGTGCAGGGTGAGTTTGCTGCAGCTTGAGGCTGTGAGGCTGCCACGTTCAGATCTATCCTCAGTATCCACCATGGGGGCTACGAGCAACTTTGATTTACATCTCAAAGACCTAAGATTTTAAATGACAGACACAATTTTGGCCTTTAGTTTGCCTTACGAACTAAAGGTTAAGTAGAAATGTTCATAAAATCTGTGCCTTGGCTAACTGCTGCTGTCTGTCAGGGATATTCAGTGCAAAAATTAGCCCTGACCAGTGGCTGTAAGTGGAGATTCTGGCACATCTACCACAGGACAGCAAGCAGTCCCCTACTTCCTTGCATTCTGTGACAGACATCACTAATCAATTTCCTGTTGAGCCTCAGACTCCTCTGGGAGCCCACCATGTGACTGTGTCTGCACAGTGAGCCAATCCTGCTCTGCCCTTGCACCCTGCTGCCTGCTCTCACAATTAATGCCACCTCCCCAGGGAGGGAAGGAACTGAAGCTCTGTGACGAAAAATACAGATGCCCACTGGATGTGCTGTCATCAGAGACCCGAGCTCTGGCTGAGGCCACTCTTACCAGTAGGACATGTTGTTGAAGTGCTCAGTGAACTGGGTCAGATTCGGACTCTTCTCTTCATTTTGCTCTTTTGCCCAAAGCAAAACCTCAGGGATCTGAAAAAGGAAGTAAATGAGATACAGGGAGAGCCCTCTGGTTTGCCTCTGAGGGTGATTCTTTTCAGTTGGTGATGGCCATGAAGTTGGGATGGACCTAGCATTTGCAAGCACCTAGCTCTCAGAAGGTGGGCTCTGGTGGCGTAGTCTATAATGAGCCGCACTGCTAACCCAGAGGCTGGCAGACTTCTGTCGTTTGAATTCATCAGCAGCTCTGAGGGAGAAGGATGGAGAGTCTGCTTCTGCTAGAATTTAAAGCCCTTAGCAACCTGAGGGAGGGTCACTATGGGTCAGAATGGACTCAATGGCATTTAGTTTGAATTTTCTTTGAGATGCCCCCAGCACACTCCCCACTGGACACCATACCTCTATTTTATAAAAGAGCTCAGCATCTAGCAGTGTCAGCTGCTCCGCTATTTCATGGCTGTGAAAGTCATGCAAGGTTCCAGGCCTGAAAGACAGATGTGAAATTAGCAGTCAGGGAGCTACGCCAGCTCTGTGCTTGCAGACAGATGGGGATGTCTCCTAGGCCTCACCACCCAGTGTGAGCGGACAATGTAGCAACATCCTGGATGTCACGCAGCATCTTAGTGCTGAGCAGGGCCACACCAGGGCCTCTCTCCCAGTCATACTGCCTCTCCTGGGCCAATGCTGTCCCCTTCCCCTCCTTCCTCTGTAGTGAGTGTCCTGTAGCTTCAGAAGTCAGAGAGCTACAGCTTCCATTCTAACAGTTCAGGAGTCCCAGAAATGCTGCTTACAGCTGACCCCATTCCTACGTGGTCAGAAGTTTGCAGTCCAGCAGAGATGACTGCAGGGATGGAGCTGGCACCATACTGATGCTAACATGCTCACCTTTAAGGAGACAGTAAGTCAAGAAAAATTTCTACCTGCAACTAAATTTCACTTTGGGAGTTGGGCAGAAAGAGCAGGATTTGGACTTTTACAGATTTTTAGGAACATTCTGGATGGCTCAGGACAGCTGGACTGGCATTAACAACTGTCCTGCTCATAGTGCCACAAAAAGAATCAAGAGCAAACTACAGCCGGAAATTTATTCATGTATTTCCTGTCCTGTTAACTCGCCACACACCCTGCCATCCCATTAAGAAGGTGACTCATCACACAAAATACTCTTCCTAGAGAGGCGCCTCATCACAGGGTCTGGGTAGAGCCGGGGGCTGAGGCTGGGAGTCTGGGAGGGGGAGAGGAAAGTAACCTGGCAGAGGAATATAGAGGCTGTTCCTGGGGCTCCCGTCAGAGGCAGGGCAAAGCCTATGTCCACCTAAGAGAGCTCCCCTAGTGGGTGGCTGGGCCAGGTCAGAATCCAAGACCATAGACCCAGGGCTTCTCACCTGGCTGCTACTCCTCTGGCTGCCAAAGGCTGGTCAGAGTTGGCACACCTAAGCAACTTCTTCTGGTCCACCTTGTCCAGGATGTTCTTCCGGAGCACGCGGGCCAGGCTCAGCTCTCCATTGCACACCAAGCGAAAGACCAGCTCCATCAACAGCTTCAGAATCTCCTCTGTCAACTCCACGAGGCTAAAGGGCCATAAGGTGAAGGATGGTAACAAGAGTATTGTCAGTCACAGAGTCTAGGACTAACTCAAACTCCAAGGGCTGTGATCAACAGAAACATATAAATGCTCAAGTGGGAGAGAGGCAGAGGAGAGCCCTTGGGATGACTGCTCGCCCCAACACTTTCTCTGCCTCACTCTCTCTGAGCTGGACTCTCACAGGCTGAGTCACTGGCCCTGTCTTGAAGACAAGGCTTGGCTCTTCTGCTCACCACTGACCCTATGACCTAGTAATAATACTGGCTCAACACGTATTTATTAAATGAAGGGAGCTGGCACGTGCCATGTTAGAGGCAGACACCACTGTGGAAAAGCTGAGGAAGGCAAGCCAGGCTGTGGCCTTCACCCCAGTCCAGACTCCACTGAGCTGCTCACACGGCTAGTGGCTAAGAGCAGGAATAAGACAGAGTGGCCAGGATGGTCCTGAACAGGTGCTAGCCAAGTCCAGGGCGCACCCCTAAAGACAATCAAGGGCCCAGGCTGGGGCTGTGAAGATCTTCACAGAGGGGTGTCGTTCTCTCAAGGAAGGGGCATGAGCTCGTTAAAGAAGGCCAGAGCAAGCCCTGTCCAGACCTGGTGGGCAGAGCTCTGGCATGACCCTCGACAAGCCGAAGCCAGGAGGCCCGCCCCACCCACAGGCCCAAGAGCCGCTTCCCTATGATCCTGGCCGGCGAGAGCACTCACCACAGCTCATCCACCACTCTCACCAGCACAAAGAATGTGTTCTTGCTGACACGGTTCTTGAACGAGTCGGAGAAAGGAGAGAACTTCTCGTATGTGCAGTGTGGGTTAAAGAAATAGTCAATCTTCATTTCAGGTTGAGGGTGGGGAAAGATGAAGGGATTAATTTCTTGATACTATAACTGAGTGCCTACTATGTGTCAGGGGACCTATGAGTAAGACCGTCTTACCTGGAATCGAAGGCACAGAAGTGCTGAAGGATTGTGCAAAGGAGTGTGGTTGCAAAGTAGGAAGAAGTCCAAATCTGCCTGATCCCAAAGACTGCACCCACTCTACCTTCTCCCGCCTCAAACAACCACCACTACCCACCCCTGCCCTCAAAACAGCCTTTCTGTAACATCCAGGCCTGACTTTCTATGCAGTTTAACTAAGTTTCCTGTGAAAGTCAGGTAAGAGAAGCAATCAAAACAAAAACATCCTAGTAAGTGATTCTTTCTGTGGGTTTGCAGCTTACAGCTGCCTGCATTTCTGGAAACCTCTACAGGAGCCTCCCTGGTCTGCCAGTCAGTCGTGGCTTGCCAGCAAAGCAGGGAGTCCTAGAAGGAATGAGTTTCTCACCTAATTCTTCCCAGAGCAAATCTATGCTCGCTTCTCTACAGTAGCCCTTCACACCCGAGGACTGTAGCCCCATCTCTAGTGGCAGATGCAGTGAGCCCACCCTCCTGACTGTGCTCCACCTGTTCCCTATGGATCTGTAACCTTTGATGTATGACACTCAGGGCAGAAGGGTGCTGCACCTGGCACAGGGCTCACTGAAGAGCACGTCTAAGAGTCAGATGCTAGGCTATTTCTACTAACACGACCTGAACTGGACACAAGTGTAGCAGAGGTTATGGGCCAAGGGCTGATTTAGAGAGCACTGGTATGGCTGTCAGCCCACTCAGCAGCCACCTTCTGTGAGTTCCCTAATTATACAACAGGAAGTCACAGAATGGTCCCAAGGTCATGGTGTTGCTGCTGAGTGACTGCACATGTACAAATACGCGATGCTGGCCCATCCCTAGTAAGTGCAGATTTCTATTATTCACCAAGCCAGCGTGTGAGTAAGTACTTTCAGTAACAGAACATGTGAAGCTGAAGGAACTGTAGGAGAGACCTTTCCACTTGAGCCCTGACAGACATCTAAGGAGCAGGGCAAGGGGGAAAGGGGCAGGCAGAATGGTCTGGATGGAGATGCTGATGCCAGGGGGGCAGAGAGCAGGGGAGGAGCAAGGCTGCCTCGAAGTGAGAGCTGCTATCCAGCAGGTGGCAGTGGTAGACTATGATGCTGGGAGGCAGCCAACTTCCAGAAGCCCTGGAGCAGCTCCAGGTAGGTAGTTTGGGCCTAAAGAAGAGGAGATGCAGGAGGAAGAGGAGATTCAGATGAGTAAGCTCCTACTGTCACTATGGCAGGTACAGTGTACCAAAGAGCATGCCCATGGGGAAGACCTGGAGAAGGGGACAGAGATCAAGTTTAGCTGGGGGCTGTGCCATCATTGTTCACTGCTGGCTCTGCTGTTAGGTGGACGTGGCTGCACCCACTCAAGGCTGTCCATTTGAATTGTGGTTCCCTCATGTCTTGCATGCTCACCGCCCCAGCACTCAGGCTGCACCTCTGAGGGCCGTCCGACAGGAAGTGTGCACACTGTGCAAAGTCTGTAGCGGGTCTCTACACTTGCCTGTAACGCTCCTTCCCGCTCAGGATGTGTCAAGTCCATTCCAGAGCCCTCAGTGGTAACAAGCGCTGTCAGGCAGCACACCCTGACTATGCTCCAGGCACCCGCTAAGATTTTCACACAACCCTTTCATAGATGAGTCTGGAGAGGAAGCCTTGCTCGAGGCACACCCACCCTGGCCTGTCGACTCAGTGTCCCCAGATCGCACTGCTGCCTCACATAACCACCTGGTTCCCTCGACCGCGAGTTAAGCCAGAGTGCTGGGAAAGATATCTGTACTGCAGTTTCTTGATGAGCTCCTCCGGGGTGATGAAGGTCCGGTACGTGGTCAAGAAGGCTTCACAGTACAACACCAAGTCTACAGGGAAGACCAAAAGGAAGCCGACTGGTCAATACACAGAAGGTTCGGGGTGGGTGGTCTTGTGCCAGAGAAATCCCCAAAGACAAATACTGCAGTGTTGCTGTTAGGTGCCACAGAGTCAGCTAGACTCATCACGACCCTCTGAGGAGCCAAACCTCACTCTATCCCACACCATCCTCCTGATCTCTGTTTTGCTCGAGCCCACTGTTACAGTCACTGTGCCCACCCACCTTGCTTCCCTGCAGCACGGAGGAGTTGTAAGGGTAACAGAAAGGGGGTTGGAAGCCCACCCTCAGGCCTTTTGTCTAGAGACAGTGGGCCCCCTCTGAGCCTGCCTCTCAAGAAAGAGGAGGATCAGTTTCACAAACAGCCAAAAGATTTTATCTCACAAAGAAAATTCTATCTGGCTCACAGAAGCTGTTTTAGGGATGAAAGCTGCAGTGAATTCTGAGGCAAAGGCTCGCCTTCAATGAGAAAAGAGACCTGCAATCGATTAGTAATGCCTGCCACAGGCAAGCACTAAAGATTGGCAGCAAGCCTGTTTGCCCTGGATCGGACAGTTAGAAATTCCTGTCTGTTCCAAAAGTTGATGATTCCAAGGGTCATAATCAGCATACTCAGAGAGCAAACCAGCTCAAACTTGTCAGAAGGTCCTGAAGCTAAACGAGGTGGACTGACAGAGTGGCTGCACAATGGGCTCTGGGAGGATGGTTTCCTTCTATTGTACAAGGGGCCTCTGTGAGCTGGAGTCAGTGTGATGAGATCTAACAACTTTTAAGTGATAGGACACAGTGATGCATTCCCAACCCTCCTAGAATCGTAACACACCCCTCTGTTTATTTGCTTGGTGAAAACCACACTGTCTGTCATTAAAGAAACAAATATTTTAAAAGGCAGGACACGCCCTGAAACAAATGACCTGGCTAGACTTAAGAATTTATAGCTACAAAGCGGCAGAGCTGAGACCTGAACACAGATCTGCCTCTAAAATTTGTGCTCTTAACTGTGAGGCTAAGCACACATACAACATAAATTTTCCTTTTTTGGCCTCAGGTCACCTTCTGTTTATTCTCTACTTTGTGGGGCGTCTATTTCCTGCCAGGTAGTGGCAGGGAGCTCAAGGAACGCTGCTTCCCCTGCAGGGTAGCACTGGTGTGGCACAGATGCACAGGCACACCCCCCCAGACCTCTCCCAAGAAGATGGAAGGGACCAACCACCTCCTGCTCCTGCATCTGGAGTCCTGGGTGGCCCTGGGTCCGGCGGGGAGGGACGCTCACAGGCTCAAGTCACAGTAGGTCCAAAAGCATGTATTCTGGCTCTTTGTGGACCAGCAACCAAATTTAAGATTTGGTTCAAAGGGCTGCTGGGTAAGGAAGCAGAGATGGAACCAGCACAGATCAAGGACTCCTGAAGAATGGAGCCGAGTCTCCACATCTCTGCAAGACCAGTGGCCACGGTGGCCATTCATGGGATGTATTGTAGTCTCTGTCCACGCACCACATTCCAGCACGCTCAGAGTAGCCCCAAGGGGCAATGATCACTGTTACCCTAACTTTCACAAGGTGTAAGCAGAGGTATTGTGGTCCACTGAATTATGGCAAATGGGGTGCCATCTGGCTTTTCCTAAGCATAGGGACACACCACTTTTCAATGTTCACACAGCTGAGTACCTCCCAGAACTTTCTCTGTTACCCTGGTGCATGCCAACCCTAGAAGATATCTCTAGCTTTTCAACTAAGGAAATGGAATCCCATGAAAGCTAATGGGCATTCCCTGCATGTGAAGTGCCCATGTGAACTGAGGCCTGAGATCAAATTCAGTCTTACCCTCTACTGCGCTGATTCTGTAACATGCTGCCTGAGGGCAGAGCTTTCCAGATGACAAGGCTTCTACCTGCTCGGGGTTCATGAGGCCCAGCCCTACTCCTCAGGTCCATGTCCTAGTTGGCTCTGAGCCCTGGCACCTCCCAGAAGTGAGTGTAATGGAAGCAATGTCTAAGAGATGAATCCACCTGCCCATGAAGGTGTCCTGTCACCTACCTCCTCCAGTCTATCCCAGGACCTTGGTCAAGGCTATACTTTCTAAGTTCAAAACTTTGATTCTATGAAGTGTCCTCCCATTTTTCAAAAGTCAAGCAGAAGTTCTTGTCAGAATCAGAGTCTCCTCTGAGTATACCATCTCTGTAAAGACTCTTGGGCTGTGCTGCCTACAGGGCCCAGCCTTGGCCCTTAGTCACAGCAGGCTCCATCTGCTGGGAGGGACAAGCTATATGCCTTGTGCTGAGATGTGGAGTCAGCTCTCAAATCAGCCTTTTACATTTTTGGACTGAAATAAAACAAAAATGGTTGCTTATGTCCAGCTGAGAATGGAGTTCTGATTTATTAAACCAGAGCAAGGATTTATTGTTAAAGATGATAATAGGTCCTCCTGAGCACCTTCCGACCACAGCCAAAGGCCACTGCTGGTGGGCCACCATACCTTTCCTATCCGTCTCAGTAGCGTGGACCAGTAAGATGTCCCCAGAGCCTCCACGGACGTCCGGTCCATCATCACCCTGCAAGGCAAACAGTGAGGGGGAGTGAGGAGAAATGCTGTCTTAGGGAAGACATTTGGGAAGTGACAGGCAGGAAGGAACCAACAGGTTGCGCTGAAGAGACCCCAGGATCCATTCCCTGGTCTCCCTGCCACAGCACAGAGAGGTGTGCTGAGCCTGCCTGCTGCCCTGTGATCAGCATTAAAACCTAACCAAGGACGTGCCTGGGCCCCAAGAGCAACCCAGACATGGGCGCCAGGGCAGAGCTCCCCTCCGAGAACCTAACTGGGTCAAGGAAGAGTGGCACTACTCATCCTTTCCTAGTCATCAGCCCACGGGGTAGAGAAGAGTAGGGAGTAGGGAGTTCTCACATCCTGCGTTGGGGGAACATGTGGGAAGCCGGTGTGACCGAGAACCAGCCTTACCCACCCTCACTCCCAAGGCTGACTGCGAGTTGGCTTGACTATTCCTATGTGAGTTCATGTATGAAAATGGCAGCAAGGTACCCTAAATCTTCACCTTCGTGTCCTCGGTGGAACAAGGAGTCCCCAGTAGCTATATCATAAGGTCTTCTGTGGAGCTCTTTGGTAGGGGAGTGCAATGTGTTCTGACTGCTGTCGTCCAAGAAAGGAGCAAGTCTTATTTGTAATGTGAGCAAAGAGGCAAGAACCTGCAAACCCAGACTGGCCTGAGAAGGAGCTGTCATCAAAGCTACAAATGGAACTGAGGGCCTCACTCCACTAGGCCTGGCCCTCATTCTGTAATTCTGAAGTGAAGATAATCAAATAGACCCCCAGTCACCTTGTGTTTACTGCATACACTCCCCTCTCTCAGTACCTTTTATCCCCACCTTCCTTTAAATGTTGTAATTCTGACTCCAGAGTCCTGACAGGGTCTTGGATTTCTAGGGGGTAGGAGTCTCTACGCCTGTCACCTAATTTTTCAGAAAATATTTCAGGCAAGTTTCATGAAGCTTCACTTCTTTCTAGGGAGGAGTCCAGCTGTCCAAGTCCCCTGTTAGTATAAGGAGCAGGTGGCCAGCCCTTAGGGTGACAGGTGCAGGGTCACACCTTTCCCTTGTGCTGCCACAGCTGGCCCAGCAGGGCTTACCTGCCCGTGTGTCCACAGGCCAGCGTATGTGTGAGTGATGGAAGTGGAGCCCAGAAATAGGCCTACTTCTTAGGGGTGGGTCAAGACTATTTTATTAAGCCATTCCTTTGTATTTCTAGAATCCCACAGCAGAAAAGAGACCAAAGGCTCTTTCAGGATAGCCTCCTGTATTTTCATGGTAGGCAGGGGAAATTGTTTTTCCTGACAAAGTGCTTTTGCCAAAGCACAGGACAAACAAGCCACAGGGTCCAAAGCTGGAATTTTCTTAATCAGTTTGTGTTTCCCGGGCTGAAACTGCAGTGAGGTCATCTTAATAATATAAGAATACCTTACATTTCATGAGGGTATATCAAGTGCAGGGTCTATATGGAATACTTTACATGGACACATTCTTGCAATGACCCCCAGAGCTGCATCATGTGAGACTTTAGATGTGTTATGGAACCTCTTCAGCATCACTTAAGAGCAGGACAAGGAGCTGTACACTTTCTTCCTGAATTCCTCCAATGATGTCCCTGGCACTGGGCCAGTGTACACAAGCCACAAAGATCCTTGCCTCCAGCAGTCACGCCTGGTCTGGCCACGCCTCTTGGGAACACTGGCCAGCTCTGGGGGCAACATTCAGTGCACCTAGCTCGGGTGTGTGCTGTGTGAGACACCTCAAGGTTCTGTCCTCCTCTGGGCTCTCTGCTCTTTCTTCATGGGGCCAGGTCTTACGAAATGAGGACCTGTGAAGCACTCACCTCTTGCTTGAGTGTCAACCTTGCCATAATTTCATTGTGGTCAATCAGGGACAGCTCGTCTACTTCCTCCTCTGACTGAACTGATTCCAGAGCATCTGGTGACTTAGGCGTTCTGGAAAGAGAAGTGGTTTATGTTATAAAGTCAAAGAGGCCTCATCCCCCAACCCTCCCATCTTGGGTTCAGAAAGCTAAGTGGAGAGGAAGTGCTGGCCCTCCGCGAGAAGCTATCAGATTTGTGGAGAGCAACGCTGGCTTCCCTGAAAAAGCCTTTCCTTAATCATAGCTAACCCCTGATGTCCAGCCATGCTAACCAACCCACCACGGCAAGACAGAGCAGGGGACGGAGCTGTGGTGTGGAATGGATTTCTAACGTGGCTGCCAAGGAGCTGTGTGACCTGCAGACAGTTCCTCCTCTCTCTGTATGTACAGATGTACATAGAAGAGTTTAGAGCAGAAAGGAAGAAGATTCCATGGAGTCAGTTACTTAAAAAGTGATAGTCATTCTTTGCCAAGTTCCAATATATATACTGTTAGTATTTAAGGAGAAGAATGGCAAAAGGCAAGCAGGAAGAGAGGACAGAAAGGTAGGAGCCAAGTTAGCTGTAATCTCAATGCAATTCCTCATCCTTCTGGAGGCCTGCTCTGTCAGCACCGAGACACAGCAGTGAGGAGAGCAGGTGTGGCCCCTTGTCCTCGGGGTGCTCAGTCTAGCAAGACAGATGGACATTTTACAAACCTAGTTATGGTGTAACAAATAAGAAAGTGGAGAATGTTACAAGGAAAACAAGCAGAGGACCAGCCCAGGGTGAGTGGACAGGGAGGCCACGAGGATGGGATGAACAAGCTGAGGTTTGAAGCACTGAACCAGAGTTTGCCATGTGAAGAAAGAGGACTGTCCATGGAGGGTGCATGCAGGAAGGCAGGGAGGCATCCACGACAAGCCTTCCAGCACTGGACATTTGATGGAGTAGAACGGAAACCTGGTCTGAAGATACCTTGCTTTTTCTCCTGTTTTTTTCATTTTATTCTTAGGATCCTATGGCAGATTCTGTGAGACTCTGTTCAGCTTTGTGGAAACAGGCAACATTTTTAACCACAAATATCTGAGACTAAAGACACATATGCCTTTAGTAGCAGAACATGGATGGACCAGTCGCAGAACCTTCCCAGTTTTGGAAGGAACCACCTCTTATCTTGCAGGTCTGTACCCTGGCCTTTGTGGAGAGAAGACGTCTTCTATTAATTGCTTTTAATTGATCAGTGTGTTTGCCCTTCTGTTTCCTTCATAAGAACTAGCTAGGACTATGAAAATGACCCTCTGGAGTCCAATGAAGATGGAGACAGAAAAAAACTTGGTTTTTTTGCTTGGCAAACACAATCTTTGCCACTAGGTATTGAATGCAGAAGCTTATCATTTCTGGCTTTACATCCAGAAAAATCCTAGGCTAACAAGATTCTATGGATGGCAGCAAAGCAGCAGAACAGGAAGGTGTCCTCTCCAAAGGGGCCTGAGAAAATGATTTCTATTTCACTCTTTCCAACTATTCCTGCTTAAGCCTGAGAGTGACGAGCAGGTACTGCTTTAGCTATGCTGTGGATTAGAGAGGAAGTCAAACTTAGTTCTGAAGAGGTGAGAAGAAAAAGACTGAACATGCAATACTTCACACTGAAGGTTAGGTTTGCTGTTAGAGGCAGGCGTGCAGGTTTGCACAGCGTCTGTTTTGTAAGTGAATACTGGGAAACATTATTACATATCTTTAAACCTAGTATGTTGTGGGTTCTGTTAATATTGAAAAATGCTGTAAGAGCTTAAAGATATATTACTAAATAAAATACATGATTTTTGATTGCCCTTGGATCAAAAGCCCAAGATAGCTATGCAAGACATTTTTGAGAGAACCAGGGAACTGGGATGTGGTTTACAGATTAGATGACATGAGGAATTTATTATTTATTTGCTTAGGTTTGATAATGGTAGGATTAAAAATATTTAAGAGGCATGCTGAAGTACTTGGGGCAAAGAGCGTAATAAAGTATGTACAAACATATCCAAAAACCTTCAAATAAAAGGTTTTTGAGCAGGGGATTCTTACACTCCTTCACTGTATTTCAACTTAGATGAGAGTGAGGCTTTGGAAAGGACTGCTGTGGGAAGTTTGTAAGGTAGATGATTTGTATATAAATAAACAGGAAGTAATTGCAGACTATGTATCAAGAAGCAGGGTCTTGGAGGGATGGAATGATCTGTGATTTTTCTTGCAGTTTTGTGTACTCTCCACATTTTCTGCCTTGGACACGTATTATTTTGAGAATCCAGGCCCGGCCTAAGTGGTGGGTGGCAGGCAGCGTGAGCAGTTCTCACTTGTGGGTCTGCTCCTGTCAGAGGACAACAAAGGGCAGGGGGAGCAGGTAGGACACGGCCACATGTGGTCCCTCCTACCTTTCACCACTTTCTCTGCTCTCCTTCCCAGGTGCGCTGCCAAGCGAGGAGGGATCTTTGGGATGTCCATCTTTCACAGCTGGTGATTCCTGAAAAGAGAGTGCATGGATTTTGATGGGCACTCACGCTGGGGCTGGTCTGTCTTCCCAGCATTCCTGCCTGCAAATGGCTTTTGAGTGCAAGTTCCTATAGTGCAATCTGAGATGTGAGCATGTTAATGATGAATGTAGTTAATTACACAGGAAATACTAGGACCTCTTGAGACTAGCACATTGTCTCTGAAGTAAAGGGGTACCACTATTTGTTACATTTTGTTGTTTGTTAGCCTAGACAAAGCCATCTCAATCACTCCCAGGGAAAGAGGCCTAGCACCTGCTACGCACCACCCATTGGCTACTACCTAGTCAACGCTTAGCCAGGCACCATGCCGAGGGTCACCTTCCTGTCTGACTCTTACTGCTGACTAGCAGCATAATATCCACCTCAAAATACCAGAAAACAGACGCTTGGAGAAGCCAAGGGCCCCAGCTTTGAACTGCCTACCTCCAAAGCCTGTGCCTTCACCACGGTGTCCTGCTGTCAAGTAGTAAAACCACTGACTTTCAAGTTAAAAGAAGTTCAGGACTGTAGGGTTGAATCAAAATAGTCACTTCTCAGTGTTAACAAGTACATGCACTCCTCATTCTTCTCAGCCCTGCTCGCTCTCAGGTCTTGCCCTATTCAGTGACACTCAGGTCTCTGGGTTTTGACCCTACTCAGTGACCACATGGCCCAACAGCCCTGGTTTGTCACTATGGAAAAGGAGGAGAATGAGGGCAGTATGGATACACAGAACATTGTCAGTGGAAGACAATTCAAGGTCATTGGTAGAAAGGTCCCTATGGGAATGGGCAAGGAAGAGAAACTGTTTCTCCCTACAAACAGGTGAAATTCCATTGGGTGGAATTTCTCACCTATCCATCCATGATTGCTAAGGTCGGAAGCTGGGCCTGCCGTGGGGACCCTGATGTGGACTCTCATAACAGGAGGGACTGGGCTTTGAGAGGACAGGGCCCCCTGGACTGGTAACCGGAGGACTCAAGTCCCCATGGCAGCTTCCCTGAAAGCAAGTTGTTCCATTCAGGCTGGTGGTGGAGAGTTCCTGCTGAAACTTGCCGTTTACAACAGCAAGGCCTAGAAAGTGACCTCACAACCGTTGTCTCAACTGTCAAGAGATGGGACAGCAACATGAGCTTCCTGAAGTTAAAGAACTCTTCACGCTCTCACAAGGGATGTCTGCATTTATACTGCAGAGGCAACCCTGTCAGACTCACCCAGCTTCCATGGAAGCCGTCACATAGGAGTGATGGAACATGCTGGGCAGGACAGGAAATGGGGGCTCGAAGGCTTGGTGAGGGAAGAGTTTCTCACTCTGCGTAAGGGGTGCAAGATGGGGTTAAGATGGGACTGAAAGGAATCCGACAGAAAGTAGCGGGATACACGGCTAGGGCCAACGCCAAGGCTGCTCCCTGTGGATTTCCAGAAAGCCCATCCTACCAGGTACCAAGGAGGCACCACACGCACACACTGAAGCAGAAGCAGAGGGACGACCATCACCAGGAAGCCATATTCTTTCCTTGCCGAGCCAAGCTGGCTTCCTAAAGACTGCTGAGGCTTGTCTGCTAGTAGCTGGGCTGCTCAGTCAAACAGAAGCAGGTGTAAGAGAAACAGTCCGAGGAGAGCAGGGCCGCTGGCCAGGCATGCATGAGGCGGTCAGCGCTAGACCAGGCCTGCACCCTCCTGAGAGGGCTACTTACTCCTCGAGAGGGGGGGTGTTCCTCGCCGCTCTGGCCAGGGGAATATAGATTGACGTATTCACCCTCACCAGCTTCCTCACTGGCATTTTCACTCTAGGGAGATGGGACGAGAGGAAATACACATGTGACAGGCCCTCTAATCAGTCCTCAAGGTTCAAAGAGGGCAGTCAAACATTGGCCTGGTCAAGATGCTTCTTTCCTGGCGAGTCTAGAACCAGTGAGTGCAGAAGCTCTGCTCCCTCGGGCGGCTTGTCCTCAGGGCCAGAGAGCAAAACAGTCTTTTCCCCTTCCTGCCTGTGTGTTAGAGGCCCCTCCAGTTTCCCGCTGGCTATTTTCCAAGGGCACTGAGGGGCATTCGGGCACTCTGGGAAGTGCACTGAGCCACAGGGGGCCTGTCCGGCAGTGCTGTGGGGGGTAACTCCACACCTGCTGGTATCCCTGTCCCATCTAGCTGTCCATGCCAACCTACAAGTGATGCTTTCCCGCGCTTAGATGAAGAACTGCTGGCAATTTAATAGGCTATTCTTCACCAGGGCCCTCAATCCTCAGCACCACATGCAATTCAGTATGCAATTTCCATTGATCTTTGTCACTTTCAAGTCTACACATTGCTCTAAAAGCAAATAAACACAGACCACTCAGAGCATGTTCTAGCTCACCTTTGTAACTGCCTCTAGCTGACCAACTGTCGCTAATGGCTCACACTGCCAGTTTGATGGGAACTTTGTCTAGAAGGTTCAATTTTTATTCTGAGAACAGATGGCTCTATGGTCTTCCACACAAGTGAAATCTAGTCATGCTGAAATGGTATACACCAGCAACTGGCCTGGCTGCTTGCAGGGAGGGGAGGACAGCAACAGTGCTTTTACAATGTGCAGCCCCATGTAAAGGCGTGTTTTGAGTTCTCACCAAAGGCGTCTGGGGCGAGTCAGTGAAAGAGGTTTCGGGAGGAAGGCAGACAGCGTTCCCATGAAAGCTGCTCTCCTGAGAGGATGAAAGAGGCCCGTCCACGGTGTTGGAAGGCGGGCTGGCTACAGTTGGCACCACTAAGTCAGAGCTCTGAGACTGGAGGACAGGCGGGAAATGTGGAGAGGAAGAGGAGGTAGGCGGAAGGAAAGGCTGAACGGAAGCTTGGTTGTGAGGCACGAAATCCTGGGAGAAGGACCTAAACACAGATTTATACTACAGAATCAAAGTGAAAAACAAACACAAAAAAACACCATGGGAAGAAGAAAAAAAGACAGACAAAAGAAGTGATTAGATTAGCTGTGACTAAGCAGTGACTAATTGTTCAGTGATTCTAACAGGGCATCATGCCAACACCCACTCCTCATGGCCTGCTGGCCTCCAGGGCTACCTCCCTCCACCCTGAGCGAGTGCTTCATTCCTTAAAATACAGAGCTGTCCCCAGTGGCTAAATGACAGCACATAAACAGCGACTCCCTGAGGCCCCCAAAGAAAGTCAAGTCCCATGATTAAACCTACTTATCCCATCTACTGTCTTTTTTGTCCTTTCAGGAACCTTACTGGCTAAAGCTAAAGTGTACAGTCAGGTATTTGGTCTTAGTTACTATTTTGAATGTTTTGGAGGAATCTCTTTGGTTTTATCCTTTAAAAATCAAACAATTTTGAAAAACAAGGAACTCATGAAATATTATACAAAATGAGTGACCCTGGAGGACATTATGGTGAATATCTCAGTCACAAAAGGACAAATACTGCAGTTCCACTGTTGCAAAATGGGACTGACATCAGAGTTGAGGGAAGACTGAGAAAGATGGGATGTATACTGTATTGAAACAGAAGAGGGAGAGAACTGTTTAAAAGGGATATATGATTAGGTATTATTGTCATGAAAGGAGTCCAGAACGAAGGTTGCATAGTGGAATGGAGTTGAGGGGAAGGATCATACAACAATGAAAGAATATTTCTTTTACTTTTCAAAAAGGAGAGCAAAAGCTGCACTGTAATCCCAGAGAAATGTGGTTCGAATCCACCAGATGCTCTGCTGGAGAAGGAGGTGCAATCTCCTCCTGTACCTGTAAGATCTGATTTGACGGCGCGCGCACACATACACACACACACACACACACAAATATATTTTAAAAAATTATAAAACAAACAAACAAACAAACAAAAAACCCTCACAAAAAACCCAAAAAGAAGAGCAAACGGGGGAAGGGGTGGGCAGGGAGAAAAGTGCAACAATGAATGAATGGAAATCCAAAGTCTCTGTAAACTTTCATTAAAATTATTAAAAAAAAACCACAACAAAACAAACACTGCAGTTAACCAAACATTGTAATTAAAACCTTACAGTCTTGTCAATATTGTAATCTACCTTAAAACCTTTTCTGGAAGGGAAGAACTTTTTTTTTAAGTTTTATTATTTTTTGTGCATTGTACCGCTAAATCAGATCTGACTGGTACAGGAGGAGATTGTCCCTCCTTCTCCAACAGAGCATCTGGTGGATTCGAACCAGGCACATCTGGGATTGCAGTGCAGCTTCTTGCCACTAGGCCACCAGAGCTCCCTGGGAAGAACGTTTTGTTTTTTTTTAAATTATTGGAAGACTGTGCTATCAAAACACTAGTAACTTCTATGAGTCAATTTCTCTTCCTATCTAATCTTTTATGTTTCTAACTAATGGTCTTAAAAACTACCACAGATGCCACCTGGGAGCGACAAGATCCTACTCCCCTAAATTCAAAGAGAAGAGTCTGAGGTCAAGGATGTGGCAGGGAGTCACCCACTGCTCCTCTAGGTCTGGCCTTGCTCTCCTGCTGGAGCAGTGACAGAGTGGCACTGGGACTCAGATGGGGCTTCGTGTTCTGTCAAGGGCCTGCTAACTAATCTATCGCTCACTGCTACAGCAAACGGGGCAGAATACGTGGATGGGACCATGTGGCAAGTCCTTGTTAGGCTCACTTGCTCATTGTGGACATTGAAACTCTACAGAAGTTAAAACCAATATAAGTGCTCAAACGTTTTCACTTGTACAGGATTTCCAGAATCGATGGAAACAAGTAAAAGGAGGAAGAAGACATGTTACATTAACAGGAGGGCAAAGTTACTCATATCTTTAAACAGTTTTGCAAAGATACTTTTTAACCTAGACAGAGACCTGCCAAAATTCAAGGCAATCCTCTTGTAGTGTGTTATCAAGCCAGAATAAACTCATAGCTGACCCTCCAGAGAGTTTTCAGAGGCAGTAAATCACATGGGAGATTGCCCATCCTTCTCCTGCAGAGCAGCTAATGGATTCGAACCTCCTGCCTTTGGGAGTGCAGCA